GCATATTTTACAATATCTCCTTTCTTTTTGCCTCAGAAATAGAGCACAGCTTTGAACAAGTCTATATATACATCACAACATAAAGGTAGACAGACATTTTGTACTTGACAATATTTTTTCCTTGTTTGCCGAAGCATAAGATGGAAGAAATCATACTGAGTGCAGCTCTTCTTTTTGCTAGAAACTAGCTTTGAATTTTTTGTAAGATAATTCTTTGTAAAACTGGTTTGTAATAATGGCACACGTAATTACAGTGCAGGCCGAAAAATCCTTAACATTCGAGGTTTTTCGCAAATGCCTTCAAGAAATTCTGCAGAGGTTATTCTTTTTTAGATAAGAGACAATCCATCTGGAGAGTTCAAAGATCTCTTCGTTGCGCTTGTCACTGGGAGCAAGGACAGCAGCGATGAAGTCGATGAACAGCAGGCTAAAGATGTACAAAAGTGTTCTCACCAGAACTAGATGATATCGCTATGCTTCCAGGATGCTGTCCGACTTTACGCCGATGGTAAGGCAATGTTGGTTAGCAAAGGTGCACCATCACACTTTTTGAACATCCTTGCCTCCCAGAATGCATATCAACTGAGGAAGGTGAAAATCTGGCAATTCTTTGTAATGATGAAGTTGTGTTATTTGTGCTGTAGGTGTTTGAGAATTTCGCTGATCTTTCTGGCACCACCATCGAGATGGCAATTGAAAAAGAGTTCAAAGGTGATTTGCAAAAAAGCTTCCTCATCATTGTTAAAGCGGCCACCGACATGCAGAAATTCTTTGCCGAGCAGCTTTACTATTCCATGAAGGTAATTGCTGCTTACATTAATATTCTTCAGTTCTACAATGTTCCGATTAGGGTTTGGGAACGCGAGATAATGATTTGATCCGTGTGCTGGTCAGTCGCTCAGAAGTTGATCTTGATCTTATCAAAAATGAGTTCGAGATGATGTACAACACTTCACTTATTGAAATGATTAAGGTAGGTTTGGAAGATGTTTTTTCCTTGAAAAAAACTTGTCCCGATCCTAAGCAGAGTCAAGCTTGAGGTGTGGCACACCACACTTGAGCGGTCATGTTGAGCAGGCAGGCAGAGAGTGAGAGGGGTTTTAGTTTGTTAGGATGTTAGCGATAACAACAACATAATATTTGTATCATATCA